ATCAGATGAGACTACGACAAAGTTGATCATCGAACTGTGGCCTAGGGTGTCCTGGTGCCAAGAGCACATATGGACACCCTTATGCTTGAACATGGTGTTCGTTATGGACAATTCATGACGAGCACAGAAGTCCAACAACAGAACACCACTCAGGTTCAGATCAGGGGGGCCGTTCCTCCCAACCACACCCCTCCAGGTCTCACTGTCATTGCCCACGTGAGCATTGAAGTCCCCCAGCAGAACAAGGGAGTCTCTAGGAGGTGCACTTTCCAGTACCCCCTCCAAGGACTCCAAAAAGGGTGGATAATCTGAACTGCCATTTGGTGCATAAGCACAACTGACAGTCAGAACCCGTCCCCCCACACGTAGGTGGAGGGGGGTCACCCTCTCATTCACCGGGGTGAACCCCAACACACAAGTACCAAGATGGGGGGCAATAAGTATGCCCACTCCTGCTCGGCGCCTCTCACCAGGGGCAACTCCAGAGTGGAAGTGTCCAACCCCTCTCAAGGAAACTGGTTCCAGAGCCAGAGCCATGAGTAGAGGTGAGCCCGACTATTTCTAGCCAGAACCTCTCAACCTCACACACCAGCTCAGGCTCCTTCCCCACCAGTGAGGTGACATTCCACGTCCCAATAGCCAGCTTCTGTAGCAGAGGATCAGACCGCCGGGGTCCCCGCCCTCGGCCACCACCCATCCCCTATTGCACCCGACCCCTTTGGCCCCTCCCACAGGTGGTGAGCCCATGGGAAGGGGGACCCACGTCTCCTCTTCGGGCTGTGCCCGGCCGAGCTCCATGCGTAAAAGCCCGGTCACCAGGCACTCGCCCGCGTTCCCCACCTCCAGGCCTGGCTCCAGAGTGGGGCCCCGGTGACCCACGTCCGGGCGAGGGAACATCAAGTCCATTTCTTTTACTCATCATAGGGGTGTTTGGGTTGCACTTTGTCTGGTCCCTCACCTGTCTACCACACATTTTCTTTCCACTCATATTTCCTTAACATGCATGGACATACAAACATTTTAGAGAAGAACTGTGGCTCAGCCATTCTGTGGGGGCTGTCAGTGACTGTCTTCTGGACATTTGTCAATTCAGCAGTTTTTCCTAAGATTGTGCAGCCAACTGAACCAGACTGAAATATCATTTAAAGGCTCAGGTCACATTTGCACATTTTCTGAGTTTATTAACTGATTGTAGTCCGTTGACTTTTTTTAAGTTTCAATATTTAGAGAAACAGGATTTTGGGTTTTGATGGCATTCTGATCTATTTAGATGTACTTGTAATTTAAACAGATTTGATTGTGTATTTGATCAAATCTCTGGGTGGAGGCAGAGCCCAGATCTCCAAGAAGGGCTCTCTTTCATGCAGAGTAATGGAACACTGACGTTCTGGACCCATGTTGCCAAAGTACAGATAGATACACATCCACATGTATGTGGATGTGTATCTATGTGGTACCTGACTTTAAAACAAGAAGTGCAAACAATTCACGTTTGAAATAAATCCATTTCTTCATAAAAAATAACTTGCTCATTTAAAAAACAACTATTTTTATAACAAGGGTTTGATATTTTCGCACACAACCTCTCCTGATTATTATCTGGTCTTGCCTCAAAGCTCTTATGTTTTCCCTGTTGTTAGTGAAGTATTTGGTCAAGGAGACACCCAGTGGTGGATTTTCATCCATGAGGGGCGCTATACATTGTTCAAGGTCATGTTTTTCAATAAAATAATATTGGTAAATTGAAAGTGTATTGTGACCTAATAACACCTGACAATGTCGCTTAGAAAACAAAATCGGTTTTGGCCAAAATCGGAATTGGCAGGTCCGACTTTTTAGAAATCGGTGATCGGAGATTTGCCAGATATATATATATATATATATATATATATATATATATATATATATGTATATATATTACGCTGGGTAACACCATTCTGGTATTGCTGCACTATCTTTCTGCGCAACAATGGTGGAATTGGTGATCCTCTTACCATCTTGGCTTCTGAGAGACATTGACACTCTGAGAAGCTCTTTTTGACCCTTCAAATGATGAATCAGGTGACGTCATTTAAGATATCTTGAATTACATTTTGACTAGTCAAATTCCTTTTAAGATATCTTGAATTGTTATTCTGACTAGTCAGAATGTAAATACAGATATCTTAAATTAGCATTCTGACTAGTCAAAATGTAATTGTTCCTAGTCAATATTCATTTTTAGATATCTAGAATGTAACTACAGACAGTCAGACTACTCAATTTTATGTTAAAAGGACTTGCCATAGGGCACAGTGATTTTGAAACAGAAAGAATATCATGACAAAGTTATGGCACTCCTTAGTGACTTAACTACTTATGAACCTCTGAAAAGAGATCCAGGAAGTGGTTGCAAGAAGAAGTTGATAGATTGCCTGAAAATTTTGGAACAGGACAAAGCTATTGCCCGTTTTCTGTACCACAGACTGTAGCCAGGGGAGGCCACACCTAGTCTGTATGGTTTACCTAAAATTCACAAACAAGGTGTACCTTTAAGACCAATTGTTAGCATAATTAACTCTGTCACTTACAATGTTTCCAAATATCTGGTGTCTGTACTCATCCCTTTATTTGGCAGCTCAGAACACCACATACAGAACACCATGGACTTTGTGGATAAGGTGAGGGATGTCATCATGGAGACTGATGAAACAATGGTCTCTTTTGATGTCACATCACTCTTTACATGCATTCCTGTTGATGATGCAGTAGAGGTGGTCAGTTTAATATTAAACTCAGACACCACTCTGAGCAGCAGGACCACGCTTTCCACAGAACAACTGTGTCAACTCTTGAAACTGTGCCTGCAGTCAACCTACTTCACATATGGGGAGCAATATTATAGGCAGAAACATGGGTGTGCTATGGGGTCTCCAGTTTCTCCTATTGTTGCCAACCTGTACATGGAGGAGGTAGAAAAGAGAGCCTTGACGTCCTTTTCAGGGACACCACCAAGTCATTGGTTCAGGTATGTTGACGACACCTGGGTTAAAATTAAATCTCAGGAAGTCCAACATTTTACTGACCACATCAACTCTGTGAATAAATACATCAAGTTCACAAGAGAAGAAGTAAAAAATGGCAGGTTGGCTTTCTTGGACTGTGAGGTCTCAGTCTCTGATAGAGGACATTTGCAAACTGAGGTGTACCGCAAACCTACCCACACAGACCAGTATTTGCAGTTTGACTCCCATCACCCTTTGGAGCACGTTAGGAGTCATCAGGACTCTGTTTCACAGAGCAGACAGCATCCCCACTAGCTCGGGAGCCAGGCAGAAGGAGAAATCCCACACAAGACAGGCTCTGGAGCAATGTGGATATCCTAACTGGGCCTTCCTGAAAGCAGAGAAGAAACCCAAACAGGACTCCAGTCAGCCATCAGGTGAAAAGGAGAGACCCAGACCAGTGGTCATTCCGTATGTTGAGGGAGTATCAGAGAAACGGAGACGTTTATTTTCTAAACATAACGTCCCAGTGGCTTTTAAACCCGAAAATACATTATGGCAAAGACTGGTTCATCCCAAAGATCCAGTCCCCCGGCACAAACAGAGTAATGTTGTGTATGCTGTTCAGTGTCAGGAGGGCTGTGATCAGTCTTACATCGGGGAAACTAAACAGCCACTGGCCAAAAGGATGGCCCAGCACAGAAGATCAACATCATCAGGCCAGGACTCTGCAGTCTACACTCATCTCCAGGCCAGCGGTCACTCTTTCAGGGATGAAGGTGTTCACATCCTGGATAGAGAGGAACAATGGTTTGAGAGAGGAGTAAAGGAGGCCATCTTTGTGAAAAGAAACCGTCCATCATTAAACAGGGGTGGAGGCCTCTGTGTTCATCTGTCCCCCTCTTACAATGCTGTGATTGCTAGTATCACTCAGCCCTCTGTGAATAGTAAACAGTCATCAGTGTGCTAATGATCCATTGTTGGGCTGATGGTCCTTCTTGAGCATTGAGCAGCTGGTTTTGGTTGTCAGCAGCAAACTGGTTGATCCACTCTGAGAAGGTGGTATTTAAGAGACTGAGCTGAATAGAGCACCTCAGACTGAGGAAGTCTCTTGGATGAGAGACAAAACGTTTTGTACATGTTTGTTGTTGTTGTTCTTGTTTTGCTTTGTTTTGTTTTGTTTTTTGAATGTCCAGAGGACCAGATTTAACTTTTTTAGAGAGTTTACTGCAAGGGTTTCAAACGTTTTTTTTTTTACTGCTGTATAATCAAGCTTGAAAATGTCTATTTGAGCACAAACGTCTCCATCTTGCTAATTCCTAAACATTTAAACCTTTTCCCTTTGAAAAAGACAAGTCTTGGTCTTCCTGGCTGTAAAGATGCTTCACCATCTATGTTTTTAACGGATCCTGGAATTAGCAGTCTTGAATATGGACCAGGAGACATTCTTTAATGTTGAGCCTCCAAATAGCTGCATTTGTTATGATTTAAGAAAAAAAAAAAAAATCTAACACACACATTTTACAAGTTTTGGTTACAACCACCCACTTGATTACAGCATGAGCCATCAAGAACATATCCGGACACACCGTATTTACATATAAGATACTAGTTTTGTTATCATGTGAATTTCAGATGTTTCTGTATAAACCTTTAGAGTGAAACACTTAGCAATCAGAAATACATTTTTATTCAACTCTTCCTGTTCTGCTGAGGAGGGCAGTGCTGCCCTCTGAATGTCACCAAGTCCTTCAATGATGTGTTTGATGGACAGATCCTGGAAGTCAGTGGTATCATATTTGCCAGCCTCCAGTCCAAATTCTAGGGCATGCTTCAACATCTTCAGGTTAGAGGAAAATGGGTATTTTGAGTTTTCAGTGTAAGAAAACTGCTAATTGAAGTTTTGATGCATGCATAATGGATTGAAGTGCAAATGACATTAAAGCAAGCACACAATGAATAATGAGTCTAATAGATTTATTGACAATATTTATTGATTTTATATTTTGATGCAACATTCAAAATTTGTTCAGATGAGATTAATGATGAAGCCTTTTATGAAGCCGTTTGAGAACCATCACCATAGCGTCTTTATGTCCAGGAGGTTGTGTATGCACTCCACACCACTTCAGCTGTGCTCTTCCAGAAGTTGCCTTGAATCAAGCTTATTTATATATATACAAAGAAGTTTAGTTAGTAAACTAACAGTGAAGAGCCATGAGTACAACTGTGCTTTATTTAATTCTTAACAATACCTTGAGGGTAGCCTTCAGGAATTGGTGGAACCCAAGCATATTCAGGCCATCCCAGAGTTTCATTCACATTTTGTTTCTCCAGCCACTTAGTTACAGGTTCAAAGTATTTCATCAGTGAGTTGGCATTCATCTCCCTGGTGCCTATAGCATCTTGAAGCACATCAGGCCAAGGTCTGGAAGAGCCAGACTGAAGAAGTTTCCTTGGGGAGGAGATAATACTTTTAACCCATCATTCATGCTGTATAATAAACAAAAATTCAGTTAGTTGACTTACTTTAGAATGGCTCCTGCTTCTGCAGATTGGTAGATGTCACATGTGTGCAGGGGACCTGTGTGGTTGGCAGCCTGGCACAGTTTCTCATGAAACTGGAATTCCAGAATGAAGCTGACAAAATAGCTGCATTGAGGGGAACAACATTTTGTTATCTTGACTGCTTTTATTTTAGTTAGAAGAAACCAGCCCAAGTAACTTAAACACTGCCTTTACCTCTACAACAGACTTCCTCAAACTGTAGAGTCTTAGTGTATTTAAAAAAAAAAAATTCATACTTCTCAAATCATCCTTGTAGCATATGTACTGCATACTTCAGGCATATATATAATGTATAACATGAGTGTGCAATGTAGTGTCCTTGTCATTAAGGTCATGATGCTTCTGGCACATCAAACACAAAGCTGTAAAATTATGGATGACATTCCGATTCTTGATTGTGAATTATTGTGTTCACTATTATTGCAGTCATGGTGCGGTTGGAAAAGGTGAAGCAACCACACTCTCATCCACTATCATTTGTCCATTCCGAGCCCTTGACCTGACCCTCCCTTCCCCAGCAGCTACTGCACAGGCTCCTTTGATGGCTGCCCTCTGCTTCACAACGAGGGCTGTTGTAGCTCAGCTTACGTTAGGAAGGGCACCCAGTGCAAAACAACTCCCTATTCCTCTAGAGAGTATGCTGTCTATGGCAACCCCTCAAAAAATGTGCAGCCGTAAGGAGAAAAGAAAAATAATAAAAAAGGGAGAGAAACAGTACCTGATGTATGGATAATTGCCAGGGATATGATATTTTGCACCAGGATCAAACTGCTCCTCTGTACGTCTGATTGGTGGACAAATTCCTTGGTATTTTGTTCTATTTAAAACATTAGAATGCCATTTTAAGAACAACATAATTTTAAGAACATAAGTGTCAGCTTTGTACTTATTTAAAGTACATAATGTTTATGCATTGTCCTACCTTAGATGCCACCAATCGGAGTTGTAATTGTCTGGAGTTGTGCTTCCACTGAACACATTCCATCTCCAGTGGTCAATGAGGTAGCCAAAAGGAAGAAAAGCTATCTCCTCTAGAGCCATCTTCAATAAGAAGTTAAGATCAGTTTCTAGAAGAAAATAAAAGTTCATTGAAACTGGAACATTCCAACATGTTGCAGGTTCATCATATTTATTGAGCTGAGAGGTATTTGGAGATATTACCAGCATCAGATGCTGCAGACTCCAGCAGGTTGATTTTGTGCAGATGGTTTGGTGTGGAAACTGAAAGAGCTATAGTGTTACCAATAGCTTGAAGGAAACCAGGGTTGGCTCCGCTACGGAAGCCCGCAGGCTGGTCCTTGTACTGCAGGAAATACTCTATGACTCCCATATTACGATGAACAGTCAAGAGCTGTTCCATCGTCACTGTGGTGCATTGTAAAATCCTGAAGAACATCAAACATTAACACACCAGTATTTCAGTCATAAGTAGATGCAGGCTCACATCCCTTGGACATTGGCTAAAGAATCAGGTCAATTAAAATGGTCATTTTGCCTAAATTACTTTGTCTTTTCAATGCACTACTTGTGCAAATTCCCCCGAGTCAGTTCAGAGAATGAGACAAATACATATCCAGTTGTGTGGAATTTTTAAAAACTACGCATAAAGTATACAATCCTTCAGTTGCCGAAAAACAGGGGAGGCTTGGCTTTGCCATGTCTCAGATATTACTACTTTGCAGCCCAATTAATACCACTAGCCCTTTGGTGTGATGAATCCTATGAGGCTAAATGGAAAGGATTAGAGCTCTCCCTGACTGAATTACTGTTGCAGTCAGTACTTGGTTGTGTACACTGTGCAAAATAAATTCTACAGCATAAGAACTTCTGTTTACGTACATCCATCAGAATATTGTTACAAATCGTAGAGCTTTTTCAACTTCACAGACAAACTGGGATCTTGGACTGGCCAGTGTGCGATCCACACTTTCAACGAGCAGTACATGACCATAGATTTAAATAATGGTTGCAACTGGGCATAACAACAATCAGTGATATTACTTCTAAAGGCTAGATGGATAGTTTTCAAAATCTCTCACTCAAATTTGGTCTAGGTAAATATGACTTGTTTTTATATCTCCAGCTCTGTCAGTACTTTGTGAAGGAAATACATGGTGCTCTGACTGAAAACCCCTCCAATCTAGTTCAGATCTTTGTGGATATTTATAAAAGTGGTTGTACAAAAAATTGTAGGAAAGATTTACAAAACTTATATTTTAATCGATAACAAAATTCACCTTCATGTGAAAAAACAACGGGATAAAGATCTAAAAGCAGAAATACCAGAAGAATTCTGGTTGGAGGGATGGAAATCTCAAAACTGCACTACTAACTCATTCACCTGTAAAGATTTCTGCTGAAAAAGCTTGACCCGTTTTTTATTACATCTGTATGAAAATCAAAAGTAATGGCTGTGCCGTCCTCCTGCTGGAGGGAGTGTGGATCTAGTCAGACAGATCATGGTCAAATATTCTGGTCATGTTTAGGTATAACTGACTTTTGGATAAAGGTGATTAACTTAATCTACACTGTGTTAGATATTAGACTGGAACTGTCATTCTATATCTTGTTTTTTAGTGTACCCCCCAGGGGACTCTACCAAAGTGACACATCTATTCGGGATTATTCTTGCTGCTGCGAAAAAGCCACCACACAGTGCAGGCTCAGAAGACAAATTCCCAGAACAGCTTTCTTGATACAAACTATTGAACATTTAAGATCAATGGAATTTATGACTTTCTCTCTCTGCACAGAGGGGCACAGAGGGGGAAAATACTAGGAAAGAATGGACAATTTTACACATTATTTTCTAGATGACAATATTAGAAAGATGTGATATGTACCTGTGAAATTTTGTCATATATGTTTTTTTTCACCCTCTAATTCTGTTAAATGCATCAAAAAGTTTGATAAAAAAAATCAAGTAAAAAAAAAAAAAACCTAGATACATGTGATTTACCTGAAATCTTTGTGGTTTCCAAAATCCCAAGCAGATCCTTGACACACAACCTCTCTGTCTTTAGGCTTAACAAGGATCGATTTTTCCCAGAACTCTCTGGGCATCGCCTCTAAACCCAAAGATGTGAAAAACTCTTCAGCCACATGGAACATGCGAGATGCGTTGTAGCCCTGAGAAAGATCATTTGACAAAGTCAGATCACCTAACACACCCCACCCAACACCACTTCAGTAGCATGAACAAGTCTTGTCACACTCACTTGTTTGACCATTTCATTTGTCACATCCAGGTTGGGTTTTTTAGGAAATGGTATCATCATATCATAAATGTTATTCCAAGTCTGGGCCCACATATTTCCTGAGTGAGAGGATGGAAACATGATTGTATGGTCATTCTGATTTACCATGCAGGACTCTAATGGAAATGCCTTAATGCATTATTCGTTGATTTGTATCATGACTCTGTTCTCCCATTGTTGTTGACATGTTCATGAAGAGTGTTTGTAAATAATTTATTGTAATTTTATTTGAAATAGGAAGGTTTTAATTCCTCAAATTCAAGTTAAACTTCTTTAAACGTTTTAGAAAATATTCTTGCATCTTACCCAACAGGTGGGCAGGGATTGGTCCTTTTAGATTGATATACTTGGGGCCATAGAAGTTGTAGAGCTGACGGCGCACAAAGGCGTGCAGGTTCAGGTAGAGTGGCTTGATGGTCTTGAAGAGTTTCTCTATATCCTGTCCAAAAGTTTCACTTTCATACCAAGAGCGCCAATATGCTCCAGTGTCTTCATATCCTAGAGAGAAACGTTTTCCATTCAGTTATTTCTATCATTCTTTTGCCATTTTCATCTGAAATTTTAGAATATTGAATGCAGTACTTGAGAACTAAAATGTCAGGGGGTCTTTCTTACCATCAGCTTGTGCAGCTTTGTTGCTGAGCTCCACAAATCTTGGGTAATACTTTTTCAAAGGCACACCTGCTGCATTGTGCCAGCCTTCCCAAGCAAACAGCAACTGCTTGTAGCTTCTGTTTCTAGCCATGATTCCTGTGAGATCTGCAAGAAAAGACCTTTCTCAGTCAATGTTGAACACACAAAACTTGTGGAATAAACAGCAGAAAAAAAAAAGTTTAAAATAAAATTGAGCTCCACGATAAAGAAGGTAAACTGTAAAGAGGCAAAGTTGAAATGTAATTTCTGGAAGTCCATCATAAAAACTCATCTGATTGTTAAACTTTCCTTTAGGATTTTGGAGCACTTATTTAAAGCTGAATACTCACCAGGGTCCATGCTCCAGCTGATGTTTGGCTCAGGGTGTACCTTAGCTGTAGAATAAATACCTTCCATGGTGCTGAGGATGGTGTTGAACTAAAGGAAAAACATTTGATGTTTTAAGAGATCAGCAAAATGTCACTTTGACAAACTTGTGATTACAGACAATCAAACCTCTTCTCTTTCAGCCTGTGGGAGGTTGGCAGCACCCAGCACCTTGATTCCACTCATCAGCCTTTTGTCTTTAGGGTTTGGAAGAGAGTCCAGAAACTTATCTGAAAAGGTCTCCTTGGCTTTGACTCCCCAGGCTTCAGTAAATGCTTCTTCTTCAAGTTCTGCTTTGACCTAAGACAAGGAGACAGAAATTTGACAATGACTGATCTTCAATTCGATCAGTTTGAATAAAGTTAGTCCATGGAACAATTTAACAGGATGAGTTAAAAAAAAAAAAATCTTATCTGACTTATCCAATGTTATTTTAGATACAGATTTATTGTTATTCTTTCTGCTGCCCCATAAAGCAGGGGTTCTCAAACTGGGGTCCCGGACCACTGGGGGCCTGCAAAAATGTTTTATTATATTTTCCCTGAAAAAGAAAACCATATATATATATATATATATATATATATATATATATATATATATATAGCTATATAACAAGCACATAGATGTTTAACAACCTCGTAAGAGGAGAGAAATAGGACTTCTGGTCCAGGCACCCTTTAACAGGTATTTACAGTAACATAACCTGGACCGGCCTCACCTCAAACACACATAAATACACGAGTTCTTGTGGCAAACTTAATTCCTCTCCCTCGAAGAAAAACAAAGTATCCGTTAATTTCAATAAAATTCTGTAACGTTTATTTTCAGTTTGAATTATGCTTTGAAAAACTGGTTCTGACACATCAAAACAACCATCAACATTAATGAGGACCCTCATCAGTCTGCCTACCGTGAGAACCGATGTGAAGAAGACAAAGGAGATTACTGTGGACTTCAGAAGGAACAAACACACCTACACCCCCCTGAACATAAGAGGATCTGTGGTGGAAGTGGTCTCCAGCTACAAGTACTTGGGTGTACACATGAATGACAACCTCAGCTGGAGCAACAACACCACCAGCCTGATCAAGAAAGCTCATCAGAGACTCTACTTCCTCAGGTGGCTAAGACGAGCTGGTCTGGTAAGTTTGGTCCTCACCACCTTCTACAGGTGTGCAGTGGAGAGCATCCTGTGCTCCAGCATCAACGTGTGGCATGGAGGCTGCACAGCTGCAGAAAGAAAAGCTCTGCAGAGAGTGGTGAAGGCTGCACAGAAGTCTGTTGGAGTCGGTCTCCCCACCATCACAGACATCTACACCTCCAGATGCAGGAAGAGAGCCATCTGCATCATAAAGGACCTCACTCACCCAGCACACAAGCTTTTTGCTCCGCTCCCCTCAGGAAGGAGGTTGAGGAGCATTAAGTGTAGAACCACTAGACTAAGGAACAGCTTCTACCCTGAAGCTGTTAGACTCATGAATATCTAACCAGAATAATCACTGTGAAAAATCACATCATGTTGTTGCTGATCTGTTTCAATGTTGGTGTGTTTATGCGTGCTCATCTGTTCACACGGACTCATGTTCAGGTTTGTGCTGATGTTCGACGTGATGTTTTTGTTATTAGTGCTTAGTGTATATTTAGTTTATGTTTTTCTTAGTTAATATCTTGGATGTTATCATTGTTTTTCTTTTACATCTTATTGTTGGATGTAACTGGGACCCTGTGTACATAATTTCGCTCCACCACATGTACCACATGAGGGGTGAATGACAATAAAGAATCTCTGACTCTGATATCTATATATATATATATCTGGGGAAATGTAATGTGATGTGTTTGATCGAGGATGCCAAAATTGCATATAATTAGATTTATGTTAACAGGTTTCCTGGTTTTGGAATAGTCTGGTTCCTGGTTTATTAACATACAAAGAAGACGGCCGCAGCTAATTTGACCCTCGTCAGGCTGCTGCTTATGTGAAGGTTTGGTTTGTGCTTTGAGGACTCAAAATCTGATGATTTACAAGCTAAACCGTAAGATGGAAGTGATTTGAATCGCAGGCCACCTGCGGCTTTGGGACTCGTCAGCATGAAAATGACCTTGAAGGGGCTCGTAAGCACGGACCAGTAGAATGCACCCTAAACTGGCCATTTCGGACCTTGGAAGTACCAGTAAAGATTCAAGGCTGACAAGAAAAAATTGTCTGCCTGAATAAATCAACAATTGTAGCTTATCTGAATCTGACTCCCCGGCTGGCCTCGGAACAGGTAGACTTATCAATTTCTCCTGGGAAATGCGTAAACTAAGGAAAAGCTTCATCTATCGCAACACCCCCCCCCCCACACACACACACACACACACACACACACACACACAACTTTTGTCGAGGCTTATCAGAACTGTGCTGGCTGACCATCATCTTATCAGGACAATGGACTATCTGTCAGTGCTTCATGGAACGCTTCGTCATCAAATGCATTTGTAATGTGTTCATAAATGTGCTTGCTGGCAGAGATTTTTTGATGTCTTAACTTGTGTCCTGTTAGGTCAAGATGTGAAAGGACCTTTTGTTTTTGTAATCCCACTATCCTCTCCTCATGTCTTTGTCCCTTTTTCTATCTAAAAAATGTATTCTGAAAAGGATAAGAAGGCTGCGCTATATAGCAGCAGCTACGTGCACTCCGCCCATCTTTCGGACGACTGTACTGACATATTCTTGTTGTATCACAGTACAATGATAATAAAGCTTATTCAGATTCTGAAGATGGCAAGGAATATTTTAGCAGATAGTACCCATCCTCTTTTTCGTCAGTTTGAACCTCTGAGCTCAGGAAGGCGTTATAGGGTCCCTCTGGCTGTAGGGTTTTTGTCCTGTCTCTGTCTGTTTCCTCATGTTTCCTGTTCAGCTCTGTGTTTTCCCTCCTTGTGTTCAGCCCCTGTCTCACCTGTGTCTAATGTTAATCAGTGCAGGTGTCTGTTATTTGTTCCACTCAGTGTCTGTATATATTCAGTTCCTCTGCGTATTGTCTTTGTCTCGAGGAGTTGACACTCAGGGAAGAAGAGTCAACGCCTTGAGGATGCGAGAGGTCTCGACTCAGGAGGGCTGTGTCAGCTGTAGACCCAGGAGCAAACTTTTTGAAATTGGTGGTGGATAACAAGCTGGTTGCAGATTGGACTGGACTGGCGACTCAGGTAGACGACGATGATGAAGATATGGAAATGAATGATTGGACTCAGGTGACTGGAAGAGGACAAGGAAGAGGAAAAAACAAGCCGAAAGGTTGGGCTGCAAATACAAAACGAACCTTAGATGAAATAAGTTCAGATGAAGGAACTAATGTTGTGAGCAAAAAATTGGTAAGAGAAGAGTTCAAGATAATTATAAAATTCAAAGAAAATGGAAATACACAATTAGGCCCCATAGAGGTGTCAAAAGATCTAAAAAAAGAAAGTGTAGAGGCCTCCACCCCTGTTTAATGATGGACGATCATCAGGCCAGGATTCTGCGGTCTACACTCATCTCCAGGCCAGCGGTCACTCTTTCAGGGATGAAGATGTTCACATCCTGGATAAAGAGGAACGATGGTTTGAGAGAGGAGTAAAGGAGGCCATCTTTGTGAAAAGAAATCGTCCATCATTAAACAGGGGTGGAGGCCTCCGGTTTCAACTGTCCCCCTCTTACAATGCTGTGATTGTTAGTATCACTCAGCCCTCTGTGAATAGTCAACAGCCATCAGTGTGCTAATGATCCATTGTTAGGCTGATGGTCCTTCTTGAGCATGTGATCAGCTGGTTTTGGTTGTCAGCAGCAAAACTGGTTGATCCACCCTGAGACGGTGCTATTTAAGAGACTGAGCTGAAAACAGCATCTCAGACTGAGGAAGTCTCTCGGATGAGAGACGAAACGTTTCTATATTTTTTTGCTTTGTTTTGTTTTTTGTTTTTTTGAATGTCCAGAGGACCAGATTGAACTTTTTTGGATCTAACATATGCAAAATTATGGAGAAAATGATAAATGAAAGAATAGCATATTATGTAGAAAAAAAGGTTTTATGTCCAAATATCAAAGTGGTTTTAGAAAAGGAAGAAACACGATGGATCCAGTCTTGTGTCTGGAGCATGAGATCAGGAAAGCCCAGATTAATAAAGAAAGTGTGGTAGCTGTATTTTTTGACGTAGAGAAAGCGTATGACATGATGTGGAGAGAGGGACTACTTATAAAAATGAAAAAAATGGGAATCACAGGATGAATGTTTAAATGGATTAAAAAAATTCTATCAGATAGACAAATACAGGTGAGAATAGGACAAGATTACTCTGACAAATACTTCATAGAAAATGGGACACCACAGGGAAGCATAGTTAGCCCGCTGTTATTCTCTATAATGATCAACGACATGTTTGATGGTGTAGAAACAGGAATGGGAAGGTCTTTATTTGCAGATGATGGGGCTTTGTGGAAGAGAGGCAAAAATCTACAATTTATTATAAAAAAGGTACAGGAAACAATAAAAAAAACAGTTGAAAATGGTCAAATAGATGGGTATTAAAATTTTCAGTAAAAAAGACAAAATCAATCATTTTCACAAGAAAAAAAACATACCTAATGAACTCAAATTGTACGGGAAAGTAATTGAAAGAGAAAAACAGTTTAAATTTCTGGGCATCTGGTTTGATGAGAGACTAACATGGACAGTGCACATCCAAAAAGTTACTGACAAATGTAAAAGGATTCTAAATATCATGAGGTGTTTGACAAGGAAAGACTGGGGAGCAGACAGGAAAGCACAAAGGACCATCTACACAGGATTAATCAGATCAATAATAGACTATGGGAGTATCGTTTATAGTTCAGCTTCAGAAACAAATTTAGAAAAGTTAAACAGTATTCAATATCAGGCATTAAGGATTATTACCGGGGCATTCAAAACAACACATACAGGATCAATATTAGTAGAAATGGGAGAACCACCACTGAACATCAGAAGAGAACAATTAGCATTAAATTACTGGGCAAATCTGAAAGGACACAAACTAAACCATCCAACACAAGAAATATTAAAACCTTTGCTGGGAGAAAGAAAAGAAACACACAAAAAACTTTGGATGGACCATAAATCAAAAGTCAGCAGAAAGTCAAATAGATGATCTTAACGTCAGCCCACAGTTCCACTTCCAAACATTCATCCATGGTTATTCACAGACACAACAGTTGATTTAAAAATATTAGAACAAAATAGAAATGGATTGATTTCAAATACAGTTATCGAACACATCAATAAATATTATGGATATGTAAAAATATATACAGACGCTTCAAAAAATACAGCAGGGCAAATAGGGGCAGCATTTATTGTACCAGAGTTTGGAGTTAAAGTAGGGAAGAGATTAAACAACAAATTATCAGCATACACCGGAGAAATGGTCGCAATATTATTGGCAGTTCAATGGATAGAAGACAATCAACCACTCAGATCAGTCATATGCTCAGATTCCAGTTCATCAGTAATTAGTATAAAAAACAGTTGTTCAGAAAGCAGACCAGACATACTGACAGAAATACAGCAAACATTATTCAAAATTAATATGATGGGGTTAACGGTTACATTTTTATGGATTCCAGCACACATAGGGATAAGAGGAAATGAAATGGCAGATAAAATTGCAAAGGAGGCCACCAAAAACAACTCAGTGGAAATAGAGGTAAAATTCAGTCGGGCAGAAATAAAAAGCATCACAAAGCAGAGAATCAGGGAAAAATGGCAAAAGCAATGGGAAGAAGAAAGAAAAGGTCGATGGTTCTACATAATTCAACGAAAAGTTGGAGAATTGAGAAGAGCTGAAAGAAACAGAAGGGAAGAAACTGTCATCTCAAGACTCAGATTTGGACACACAGGATTGAACAGGACATTATTCATCATAGGGAAACATAACACGGGAAAATGTGGCCATTGTGGGGAAGATGAGACCATACAACACGTGCTAATGATCTGCCAAAACTACCATCATGAAAGAAGACAAATGATTCAAAGACTCAATGCAATAAACGTCAGATTCAACCCTGTAGTGCTGCTCCAAGCAAATTCAAGTTCTGCAAGTACCAACATCTTGTTGAAATACCTGAAAAGGACTCAGTTGTTCGAGAGAATATGAGCGTTATTTATTCTTATGGATATAATTTTTTTTTTTTTTTTTTTTTAGCGACATTCCAGTTGACAAACTAAAACAGCAGATGGCGATAATGCTTCAAAATCTTGAAAGCCAACTGCCAAAGAAAAACTAAGAAGAAGAAGAAGAAGATTGTCTTTGTCTCAGGATTGTCCTTCAGTGGTGTTATGATCTGTCCTCTGTCCTGTTCTGAGTAAGCAGCTGCCCTGTCAGCGTTTTTGTTTGTTTATTAGAAAATAAATATATTTAACTTTCTACCTGGAGTCTGCCTTCCTGCACGTGGGTTCAACACACCTGATGACAGATTGTGACACTGGCAACAAAGAACATCTATAAGAAGTCATTGATTCTGAGTGCAATAACCATTCTTAAACAAACCAAATGATAACATCTACCTTGTATGCAAAGTGTTTTATTCTATGCACAAATTTATTTTGACTGTATGAATGTGTTTTTATTTTATGATTGGAGAGCCAAAGGAAAATTTCCACTTTGGTGGACAATAACATTTTATCTTATCTCATCTTATCTTACCATATTTTATCTTAATAAGAAGTGGCAATAGAAAAAATAGTGACAATTTTCATTAAGTGAATAGGTAAAGTATTTGTTTTTTGATTCTGTTAGTTTTCTCAAAACTGTAATCTTTGGAAGTTGAAATTAAAAATTTTGATAATTAAGTGTGTCTTGAATGAAAAATACTCCATATTTAAAAGTATAAAAATTGTATAACTATTAAAGAACAGGTCTTAAGTATTTATGTTACACAAATATTTCCATTGAATTAAAGAGACAAATTGAAGAAAATTATTTAATAAACATGAGGGTTCTGAGGGGGTCCCTGAAACATTTTTCTCCCCCTGAACCCAAAAAGTTTGACAACCCCTGCTAAAGGACCAGTTTTTTTTTTTTTTTCAGATTTGTAATTCCTCAGTGCTCCAGCAATGTGATTCTTAGTTTACACGCCAGTTACAACTTACAGCAATTAGTATATTTTCCCCAGAGAAGTTTGTTTTTTAAAAGTCTGATAGTAACAGATAATTGCAAGCATTACACACTGCAGCAAAGATTCAGGTAGACTTAAAAACAATAGTCCAGATTTTATGGTTTTCCAATTACTGTGACACAACTTGCATCAGTAAGCCTTTGGCAGTCTTTTGTTTCAGCACAATTACCATTTTAGTTGTGTCTGCCAAATGAATAACATATCATTTAGAGAATCATGAGCACTGCCATCTAAGATAATGCATTAGGCAGTGACAATTTCCATTCAAGCGTTGCAGCAATATGCAACTCACTGAGCAAGAATGAAAGAAAAATGTACCTTTAAGTGAACTGATAAGAGTATTTATGACATGTTTTATAAAACTAGCAGATACTCCTAAAATGCATATGGGAAGATTTTGCATTACAGGTATGATTTATGAACTCTTGACTATAGATAGATACTCCAAGTTTGGCTCCTTTATCAGTCCATTGTGGCATTATTATTTATTAGTCAGCCACCAGGTAGAAATGTTGCCTTTTCTTACAGCTGTCAAAGCTAGAGAACTGCCCCATAATGTATCTGGTGAAAAACTGCCAGGATAATCAGAGTGGGAATTAGAAGATTTAGTTTCTACCTGAAGCTTGGAGTTGTATTCTGTTATGTTAGTGTCGTAGTTCCAGCTGGCAGACACGCTGTAGAACAACACCTCCTCAGCAGTGCTGTTGTAGTCACTGAGGAACCTGAGTGCATCAGAGGTGCTGTTTCTGTAGTTTCCTGGCTGCCAGCTCTTTGGCAGATCTTCACTCAGCACCAAGACAGGCAGCAGCAGCAGCAGCAGGGACCTGACTAATCTGTCCATGGTTAGCTGCAACTTCAGGCAGAGTGGAAAGAAGAACTAAGGTACTACTGCAGTGCCTTAAACAATCTCTAGTGAAAATGTTTGTCTCCTCCTGTGCGTCTCTTCAGGTCTGTCTGCAGGTGCAGTGCACAGAAACCAACCAGTGCTTCTTTATAAAGGCCTCTTTAACCCAACCCACACTAAAGACAAGAGGCATATCTGAACTAAATCTTCATGACTAGATGCCCAGTGAAGTGAAAACTCCTCAATAAGCAACACAGCAGTGAAGAATTTGGGAGGGACTGAACATGTTTCACTGCATTCACTTTTTCAGCTTGGAGACAGAAGAAGGAGGGAGGGGAAGTTTAAACACAGCAAGGATGTAATAAAGAGGTAGAACAGAAACAAAACTGGAAGGAGGAGGAGGTTGCCTATAATCCAGCAAAGATTTATATGCTTTGTATGTACATTTTATAAATTCAGGCAGTGCATCTTCTCTGCAGTCTTCACAACACAAATCACAGACTATCTTTGGGAACTTGCAGGAGGAGCATCAACAATACAAGTCAAGAGTGTAAAAGCAACTGTAAAACTGTAAACGCAAGGAGATAATATTTTTACTTATACAAAGTATTTATTTTCTTGGGAATAAATGTGAACTTTCTTTTAGATGCCCATTAACCTCCTAAGACCTGAACTATTTCATATGTGGATGCCAGGTCCTAGGTGGTAAAAAAAAAATAAAAATCAAAGTCATAATCATAATCCTCAGCGTTTGACTCAGATTCCAGCAATCAAGCAGCACACCTCTGACTTAGGTATACCGGTATACACTTTTCTACACTTTGTGCAACTTTCATGACAATCTGTTGACCCAAAAGTGGTTTTTGAAACCCTAGAATTGGGGATGATCTGATCCAGACAGAAGGAAAAAAATGTGTCTCATCGATTTCATTTATTTTATTTAATGACCCTTCGATTTTTAAGATTTCCTGTTAAAAAATATCAAAGTTCATGCTCAATAATTCAGGTAGAAGAATACAAAAAAGTTAAGTCAAGTGCCTCTGGACAGTTTCTTTTTGTTGAAACGTTTCATCTTGCATCCAAAAATTGGATGTTTAAACATTTCCTGTTCAAATTTTTCTTAATTCCCAGATCGCATGTTGATACTCTGCTCTCATTTCCTGAGTGCACATGCTCAGTCTTTCTTTCTGCTTCTTGTTCAATTCCCCCTTCAGGTGATGTGTCCAGAGCTGCATGCTGATGCTGCTGAAAGTGCCTGAGCACCAGAGCCAATGGGCCCAGATGACATGATTTAGCCATTTTTATTAATTCAGCACTGTTTTTCTGTATCAGATCGGCATTGGCCGTTACTAAACTGTACTGTGTATATATATTTATATATATATATATATATATATATATATATATATATATCGGATCGGAAGTGAAAAAAGTGGATCGGTGCATCCCTAATTTCGAGGAACTGATCCTCATTCCAGCCACATCACACTTGGCTGCGAACTGCTCCAGCAAAAGCTGTAGATCACGACCTGATGAAACCAAAAGGACCACATCATCTGCAAAAAGCAGACGTGATCCTAAGGCCACCAAAATGGATCCCCTCAACACCTTGGCTGCACCTAGAAACTCTGTTCATAAAATTTATAAACAGAATCCGTGACAAAGGGCAACCTTGATGGAGTCCAACTCTCACCGAGAACCAGCTTGACTTATTGCTGGCAATGTGAACCAAGCTCTAACACTGGTCGTACAGGGACCTAACAGCCCGTATCAAAGGGCCTGGTACCCCATACTCCTGGAGTACCTCCCACAGGGTTCTCCACAGGGACACAGTCAAACACCTTCTCCCAGTCAACAAAGCATATGTAGACTGGTTGGGCAAACTTCCATGCACCTTCCAGGACCCTGCTGAGGGTGTAGAGCTGGTCCAGTGTTCCACAACCAGGATGAAAATCACACTGTTCCTTCTGAATCTGAGGTTGGACTATCCAATGGACCCTCCTCTTCAGAACCCCTGAATAGACTGCTTCAGGGGTCACGGGGACAACAGATGATGAGAAGGTGTGCTGTCCATCAGCACGATCAGCCGGCTTACTTCAAGCCTAGAGCGTAAGCCTTGCAGTGAGAAAAATGCCTCGTCTTCTGTATTTGTTTAACTTCTAATTTTTCTAACAAACTGTAACTGTCAAGTAACATGTTTATCTGTTTAGGAATGACGAGGAGTGGAGCTCGGTCTACAACAGGATTAGGTCCAAAATAGAATCGCTCAGGTTTGGGAGTCCAAAACGAACTGCTCTGTCACACAAAGTAAAACAACAGCTCTCAGAAGATTTTGTGACTAGTAAGGAACATTATGACTTCCCCTCTGAAGTAAACAGCTCCAGCTCAAAGAACACTTTCAACAGGTGTCTCTTCAAGGAAAAGTTATCTTCTGAAAAACAGGAGAAAGAATTATGTTAAACACATTATTTCATGTTTTCACCATAATGATTGAAAATAATAATCAAAATTATTCATGTTCCCACTTGTTAAAATCAAATAAAACATACTTCATTAATAATTTGTTTTTTTTTCTTAGAAGCATAGAAAAAAAAATAAGGGAAACATTAATCAGACTATAGCTGACTCTGTGCCCAAGGACAGTGAATCTGTGAACATCAGACATTATTGAAGTCAAAAGTAACTTTAAAGAACACAATTCATGGTGAGTCTGGAAGATGACCTAAGTGTCAGGGGTCATTGTTAGAGGAGTGCAGCTTCATGCTACGTTTGTAACAGAAGACGTTTCATTTCTCATCCGAGGAGCTTTCTCAATTCAAAGAACAGAGAGTGTGGGGTTCAAGTTATAAAGATGAGCTTGTTAGGATCTGGTGCAGTGGCTGAAACCAAATGCAGGCAGGACTCGGACAAATAACTAAAAACTGTTTATTACCAAAAACAAAAGCGCTGTCGCGGCACCAAAACTAAATTTTTCCAGGGGGCACGTAGAGAACACGGTGAGCCAGACAAGACATCACCAAACAATGACCAGCTGACAAGGAATGAGGAATGCAGACAGGTTAAATGCACACACACTAACGAGGACAATGACAATCAGCTGGGAACGATCACAAGTGGGAGCAGGGTAAATTGATTAAGAGGGTAGACAGGAGGACAGGACTAGGACAAAACACAAGGGGGAGATAGCCACAAGGGAAAAACAATCCTCACATAACTAAGTTAGATACATATGCAGATTGCCCGATCAATCCCCACAATAGGGGTTCGATAGGGTCTTTGTTAGTTTGACTCACAGTGGAGTCACTCTGGTGGCATGGATGAAATTTCTGATAGGTGTGAAAATGACTGGATAATCATAAAACTTAATAATGTAGTGTTTGCATACACTGCTATAAAATGTGTGAGATTGTAGTAGCTTTAAAACAGACCAATCTTTTTTGGTCTTGCCACTTCTGGAATAAACATGAATCAGAGAGTATTATATCCCACTTTTTGTGAACTGAAATTTAACATCAATCAAACTTGAACAGAGAGATATCTATTTACTGTTTCCCAAGAATATAGCTTAAATTTTATATTCAAGCACCAGTCTGCCACTTGTCCATAATAGAATCACTGAGATGAATTGATATTTGAGTAAGTAATTTAGATACAAATAGTGGAAAAAATTACTTTTATAGACCTTTTCTCATAAAAGGACACATCCTGGTTAATTACATGGATAGTGGAGAAGATGACCATTTTGTCTTGTTTCATGTTATCAAACATGACTTAAGATCTGACTTTTTCCTTTTCTTCAGCTGAGGGAGTTAATCCCAGGAAGGAGCAGAGTTGGCCTTTTTCTCGTCCTGTGTTTTGCTCATTAATAAAAAACAACTAAATGCAGATTATCATATTGTCTTCTGTCAGAAGGTAAATCCATTTGAGATGAAGCTCCATGAGGCTCTGATGTGGTAAAAAGTCTGTGAGGAACAGGTTGGTGAAAAAAAATGCTTTCAAGGCTTAGCCAACTGCACCTCAGGGAGTCTAGATTGGCTGAATGAAATCTCGAGAAACAAAACATACTGGCATTTGAGCAATTTATTAATTTGAAAAGGAGGAAGCATGTGAAAGAACCATACACAGCCATGTCAGCCTGGCATCACTGTCTCCTGCTGCTCACAAGCTTTTTTACACATGGTTGTGGAATGGCATACCAACAGTATGCAACCAACAGTTCTTGTAAATCAGCAAGAAAATACAGAAAATACGATTGTGTTTGTCAATCTGGAACAAACAACATCCCCAAGCTGATCCTACAGGTGTTTACTGAGGTGGAGGTCAGGACTGCAGGCAAGCCATTCTCTTCTCTCCACTCCCAAATTCTCTAGATAATCTCTGACAAACCCCAAACTTTGAGGACAAGTGTTGTCATCTTGAAGGATAGAGTTCTGTTGCAAGGTTCAGGGGTCATAGTTATGGGAGTGCATATTCATGCTACATATTCCCCCGCTAGGGAGTTGATGCCAGTCCAGATGGCCATCGAGTCACTACAAGTAAAATCCATGAGCCATCAGAAGAAACTTTGGTGGGGTCGGCCTTAACATCCTGGTAACCATTGTGGACCAAGTCTTGAAGAATAAAGTTAAGAGGTGTCCAATGGCACACTCCTGTCAATGAAGAAAAAGGAATTGCCATATTTTTCGCCCTATAAGTCACAGTTTTTATTTTTTATTTTTTTGCATGATTTGGCTGCCCTGCGACTTATACGCCAAAGTGACATATTTTAGGATTTTTTTCCCCAATATTTGCAAATAGGGGTGCAGATTTATTTTTTATTTTTTTAAGAATCTAGATTCTTAGTCCTCAGGTTGTGTCAAGGTCCTGTTAAACAAATTTCTAATGCACTGGTCCTGAAAATTT